GCGTGCGGCTGGGCGACCGAGAGAGGCAGCGCCCGGGGAGGCCGAGGCAGGTCCGGCCGGGGACGCGAGGCAGGGGCGGCGGCGGGCTCTCGGCCGAACAGGCGGACGTGGGGCGGTCCGGCCGCGCCGCACCGGGTCGCGGTCGTTCCAGCGGCGGTAGTTGTTTGCCGCCATCGACTTCTTCCACTTGGACTGCGCGGCGGTCTTGACGACCTTCTTCTCGAACTTCGCGTTGAACTTGGCCTCCGCGCCCATCGGCGCCGCCTGGTGGAAGCCGCGCCCGCGCCCAAAGCGCCCGCCGCGCCCGCGCCCGCGCCCGCGCATGCCCTTGTCCCAGCCGGGCTGCTGCAGCGGCCCCTTCTGCGTGTCGACGAGGTTGAAGCCGTCCTGCGACTCCTCCTGGAAGGTGAAGGCTTCGTTGGTCACCTGCGGCTGCCGCTGGTCGCGGTACCGTCTCTCGCGGTACTGCTCCGCCCGCGCCGACCAGTCGGCCATGCGGCCGACGAACGCCTTCTTCTCAAAGGGAGCGAAGGGCAGGTCGCTGAACTGCGCCGGGCTCGAGAGCGGGCCCCACCCGTCCGGATTGTCCTCGAGCTCGGGGAGGACGAACGGCATCGCGGCGTGGAGAGAGCGTGGCCGAGGAGGAGGCTCGCGCCACTAAAGAATTCTGCTCGCCGCCGTCGTCCCATCCCTCCCTTGAGTTGTCTGATTTCTGTCTGTCTTTCTTTACACCGTACACAAACAAAAAAGCGAGAAAAAAGACGACCATGCCGGTGATCACCGGAGGCACTCAAACTGCTGGAAGGCAACCTGCGGAGGGAAGCGGGGCGCACTGACCATTGTGAGCGAGGTGGATGCGCACGGGGAGGCGGGCGGCGCGACTCGCGGCGGGCGGCTCCCTCGCCGGCGGGCGGCGGCGAGCGGCGAAGGAGCCGCGGTCGCGCGGGCGGGCGGGCGGGTGGCGGGCGGCGGGCAGGCGCGCGGACCGAGCTAAAGTGCGGGAGGTCCATATGCCGCCCCATCAGCCGGCGCGGCGTGTAGATCTTGATCTGGCGTATGTGTGTGTCGCGCCCATTCTGGTGGTTGGCCAGCACCGCCACCTGAATAAAGTGCGTCCGGAGCGGGCCGCCGCCGCCCTCGCCGCCGCCCGCCGCCTGCTCGATCGTCGGCAGTATGGTGTGCCAGCCGCTCGGCTCGTGGAGCTCCTGCACGTGGATCTCCTGCAGGTCGTGGAAGGTCGTGCCCGATCGGATCGAGATCTTCGCCGGCGTGTACGACTCGTCGAGCTTGAAGTCGGTGTAGACTCGGATGTGGTGGATCACCATCTTGCGGTGAAACTGGATGTTGACGAGGTGGGGCTGCGGCCCGTCGGACCTGCGCGGGTTCGCGGTGGCGGCGGCGTCGCGAGGTGTCCGAGCGCGGGCGGCGCGGGCGGCGTGGAGCACGCACTGCCAGTACGTGTTGACGTCGTCGTCGCGCAGCTGCTCCACGCCGTTGCCGGGCTTGGCGGTGGACAGCGACCACACGGCGAGGTCGCCAATCTCGCACTCGTCCTTGTCGGCCGACGACTCGCCCTGCGGCGTCGGGACTGGGGTCGGCATCGTTGTTAGGTATATTGTTGGGAAGCAGCAAGAAAAAGAAGACCGACGAACAAACGGTTTACGCACTATTAATTCTTTTACACAGAGAGAGGACGTCAAAAGCAGCGCTGTGTGTCCGGACACCTTATGCTGGCCGCCTGGGAGCGGGAGCGCACGCGAGAGGAGGACCCGAGCATCGACGAGGACACAGAGCGGATCTGCGGGCTCACGCACCCGAGCCGCTACGTCTGTGCCTCTGGGCCGCTCCTCAAGCGGCGCGGCCGCGCCGGCGCGACGGCGGGCGGCGCGTGGGTGGAGCGGCTATTCGTGCTGACGGACTCTGCGCTGTGCTGGTTCGACACGGCGTTTGGAAGCGGCACGCCCATCGGCACGCAGCACGGCCGGATCGACGTGCGCCACTTTGTCTCCATGAAGGTCGTCGAGCGGGATCCGCCAGCGGCGGCGGCGTCCGCGCGCGACACGAGCCCGCCGTATGCGCTCGAGGTCCACACCGTGACGGCGGAGTCGACCCTCGTCGTCGGCTCCA